GAATAGTCGACTATTCTTCTTCAGGAGAACAAAGGGGACTATCTGCATAGCCGTCCCTAATTTAGCAGTGTAAGACTAGAGGGAAGGCAGCTAGTCATCACCACCCACCTCCAACTCTTGGGCCACTCTTTTTACCAACGAATAGTGGGATTGACCGTCACATTATAACGCCCACACGGCTGAAAGAGCGAGCATGTTTTGGTGGGACGGAGATTCGAACCAGCGACCCTCAGATTGCGAGTCAAGCGCCTTAACCACCTGGTATTTCAATGTTTAAAACCTGGCCTACGATAAGAAATGGGATAATGTGATGGTAAAAAAATATATATACTGTACTTCAATCTTATGTAACTAGAAGAACATACCTTTATGTATACATAGATAGCCACGTGGAAATGTTGTAAGTTTGTGGTAGTCTCCTAGATTAAACACTACTTCTGTAAAACAACCCCTGTTAAGTAAGTCTTATACTTGCTTCACCCTGTTTTTGTGTCATGCTCTCTTGGGGTGAGATCACACTTATTTTGAGGGAAGGTGCAAAAATTTGGTGCGTGTTGGAGTTTAATCTCTTTTTGAATATCTATAGTGGGAATTATCTTTGCCATATCATTAACATTATAACTCGGGGAGTGACAATGGAGGTCCAATATTACCTTCACCCACCCACCCACCCATCCCATTCCTCTGGATGGACCCTACCTCTTCTCCGTGCCTTAAACGGGAACTTCGGCTAATAAAAATAAAAGATGGACGAAATATTATTTCTGATGCAAACTTCATAATACAAGAAATGAAATGTAAGGATATTGCGGGGCGAATTTTTCGAACTGGGGACAACACCCCCTCTCATCCGTGTGGTTACCACCATTTCTTTACGGACCAGACGTTATACCCAACACCACCATTTCATTAACTCCGTTATTCCAGTTCGCTTCATTTATTGTCACCTACCCCTAAAATATATGCAAATCAGAGCGTTAGAACCGAAGTGCCATCTGGTATTTTAATTTAAGATCTCCAAAAGCCGTATTTTAAAGTTGTGCATTTCTTAATTTTACCCACTTTTCAACCTACTTTAAATTCGCGTGTCAAAAGGGTGTTTCAAATCTTAATAACCAACCGTTTTCCAAGAGTCATATTGATCGTGGAGAACGTTCAATAAAATTGATAATTTTGGTTTGATTTGTTTGGATTTTTGCGCAAAGCTACACGAGGGCTATCTGCGCTACCCGTCCCTAATTTAGCAGTGAAAGACTAGAGGGAAGGCAGCTAGTCATCACCACCCACCGCCAACTCTTGGGCTACTCTTTTTTACCAACGAATAGTGGGATTGACCGTCACATTATAACGCCCCCACGACTGAAATGGCGAGCATGTTTTTTGGGGTGACGGAGATTCGAACCCGCGATCCTCAGATTGCGAGTCGAGCGCCCTCTAACCACCTGGCCATGCCGGGCAACAATAATTTTAGAACAGTTGCAGATTATATTTACTCGTCCAAACATTGAAGCTCGCGCTTTTCTTCAGTAAAGGATGTTTTAATATTCAGATTTATAAATGTTCCTCGCATGAAGAAGTCCAACTACACCAGTAATACCAGCATACAATTAGCACTTCCTTCAACTCGGAATTAGAGTGTGTGGCTATATGGATAATAATAACAATTACCATCGTATTTCGCTCGTACGTGTGTTTTGTACTCTATATATATTGATTACAGAGAGAAACCAATGGAGTTTGAGCTTTCACCTGTTTTTAGCCGAGTAAGCACTGAACAGTTCGCTAAGGCTAAAAAAAATGCCCGGATCGAGCTCGTGACATAAATATGTCAACAGAAACACTTTCTTCTGGTCAAAACTTCCGTATGAACAAAAAATAAATAAATAAATAAGATATTACACGGCCCTCTAACCTATAAATTGCACTACAGTGCTAAGCATTAATCACTACACCTGCGAATGTCGTGATACCCAAGTTTAGCCAATGAACGTGTAATAAATTGGTGACGTCAGGAACTGCAGTTCCTGCGAAACATTCTGAAAATAACCAGCAAGTGTTCGTAATTAAGTATTTTTCCTGTACGAAACGGTCCTAAAACCCTCCATGCACGCGGCTAATGACATTTGTAAACGCACAGAGCGTGCGTAAAAATATCACTCAAGTGATCTCTATGGCCTCCAAATACGTCACCTAAGCCTCTTTTCTGCAAGTACCATCCAATACATATTACACAGGTTTATAAGATATTGCTTGAAAAGCCTTATGACAAAAATACAATTCTGACTTGCATTTTCTATATTGTCAAACTGACTTAATCCTTTATCCGATGTAAGCAAGAAAACTTGAAAAAATAGTAACAGCTGGTACCGACTGGTCTTATCACAGGGTTGATAATCTTTTACCTTGCGTCGAAATAATATACAACCCTCAAAAACCTGTCACTTTAAAAAACCAACAATTAAACTGTGATTATTCTGTAGCTTTTGTCCCAAATTAATCCACACCTGACTTTAACGTGCTTTCATTACAATGTAATGATTCATTCTACCAAGTTTTGCGAGACTTTGTCAAATACTCCGATATTAAAAGCCTTGTATGATGTCTACATACTTTTGCTCGTGTAAACAAACGTGACGCTTTATTAGCCATTACAAAACTACCAGTGCTATTAATGGGGGGGGGGGGGGGCGTAGACGCCAAGAAACCCAATTCATTGGCTGAGAACACCTGTCATTGCACGAGCAACTCCAACAAGTAACTCGCGTTTTATCATTTTCAGTTCCCACTTGCATAATTTGTTTTTGTTTTATTTTTAATTATACACAAAGCTACACAAGGGTTATCTGCGCTCTGTCCACCACGGGTATCGAAACCCGGATTCTAGCGTTGTAAGTCAGCAGACATACCGCTGTGCCACTGCATACATCGCATAAAAAAAAACCAAAAAAAACTCAACAACAGACTAAACAAACTCAAAAGTTAGAGCAGTCATAACTTAAGGTATAAACTAAAAGTTGTTTTTCCAGCAATACTTACCACATAGAGAAGTAATACTGCTGCTTTCTTCGTGAACAAACTTTCTAGTAACGGCTTCTTCCATGATCTGTTTCACCTGGAAAAAAAATTAACGTAATTTAAAAAAAAAGAAAAAAAGAATAGTAATAATAAAAGGAAGATCTATAAGAATTCAAGAATAGGCCAAACACAAACAGACGATACTGGGCAGAGAGACAAACAAATACATAAAAAAATAAGACAAAAATTGGCAAACAGGTAGATGGATACCAGGCACAAAGAAACAAATATGAAACAGATGGTAAATATTTAAGTTGAAATGACAAAAGGTTAAGTAACGTATTCGAATGCACGTAAATAGTGGTTTTTGTGGTACAATATAGCGTACTTTCTATGTCAAAAATGCATTTAGCCAGTAGAAGTAATTCCAGTACATAAAGAAAAAAAACTTGTCAGGTCGTTCTTGAGTAACCATACAATTTCAATAGCAGTGCTACTGAAATAATGGACAGTACATCTGGATTTTTTGTACAGCACGACAGGTAAAATCCACAAAAGAAAATTATATAAACCATCATATGTTTATCACATTTGCTTCTGTAATCACGAAATAAATGTTTTGGGATTTAGTTTTCTTATTTTTAATGGGCATATGAATGACACATTATCGCTACAGAACGTCAGGGTTCCCGTGATAGGCGAAAATGAGAAACAAGCTTGTTAATATGTTCAAGACACGAGAATTAGCTGAAACCAGGGCAAAAACAAATATGCTACACACCTAGAAAGTAGTGTGTGTGTGTGTGTAACTGCTCGACTTACCGGGTGGAACTTTTTTTAGATTATCTACAATCAATTTGAAAACCTCTTCCCAGTTTCCACTTTCGTAAAATGTACTAAAAAAAAGTTTATGTATTTATAAACTGGCATAGAAGATGCACCATTCTCTACCCAACCCAAACTATATAATTTGTTGGAAATTTACACTACCCAAATTAAAAGCGAAATAGCTACTTAATTGGATTTTTAGGCTAGTCTTTTACCAATAAATAGTGGGATTGACCGTCACATTATAACACCCCCACGGCTGAAAGGGCGAGTATGTTCTAGTAGGATGGGGATTCGAACCCGCGACTCTCAGATTGCGAGTCAAGCGCCCTAACTACCTGGCCATGCAGGGTCAGATTCAGAGTTTCGGCAAGTTAAACACGGTCTCATTCGGCCCCGAAACTGTTTGATTTGTTTACATCTATTAAACGTAGAGGACGCATATCGGAGGTAGATTCATGATTCTTTCAACAATGTGTATGCAAGTCATTTAAAGTACAGAACTTCGAAAATGTTAAACTTTACTTTGATGAACATTCATAAAGTACATCACTTATTGTACATCAGTGAAGAATTGAATAATAAACAGAGTCTAAAAACGGAGGAAAAAAAACAGACGTTGTTAGGAAAACACGTAGGTTCAAGAAGTCTTGATAGAAATGAATAAAAACCCGAGCGCTTTCGAAAGGTGGACCTTTCTTCTTCAATTTGCCCCTGTAGAAGGAAGGTCCACCTTTCGTAAGCGCTCGGGTTATAGGGTTTTTGTTTATTTTATTTTTTTCAAGACGTAGGTTAATTTTATTGTAAACAAAAATAAAATAAAAAATTCTTCGGAAACATATTACGAGCATTGACGTAGCCTAGCAACGAGAAAAACAAAGGTATTATACTTAGTAAACACACAATTGGCGTTGTACCATTAAGCGATAAGAAAAGAAAAAAAAATTAAATGCTTCACTTATCTTCTGATTCCTGCCACTCATTTTGTGAACCTAATTTCCGTTGCAAAACACCGAAATAAAAGTAGTCCCGAATTTTCTCCAAATCTGATATTCAAATTATTAAACAGTCTCTATCTAATGATTATATATCACACCAATTAAGGAGTTAGAACTCACGCGCGTAAAGAAAATAACTGTAGTTAAGATCGTATTGACGGACAATAAAATAAACGACACATCGCGTGAGAATCGTAAGAACCATAACATCCGGACCAACAACAAAATGCACTTACCTTCTCTAAAGTCCTGTATACAACAATGACGTTGATCAATTAATCGCACGAGATCGTCTGTGGCAAAGTTACTAAGGCCGTTCCTAACTTAGACCTACTGTACCTACTAGTACCCTACCGCTCACCATACACGCTAAGGGATTGACTGTCATTGTTATAACTCACCCAAAGCTAAAAGTGCAGGGAACGTTTTACGGCATGTATAGCATGGAGTGGAACACGGCTCACCAGCTCCCAAATCCAGAGCTCTGCCAGAGGACCAATCGCACGTGCCGTTGGTTTTGCATTAAATACGTATCGTTTAGTTCTATCTATTAATTTGACAGTATGCAAGTTTAATCTGGAAGTCATGAGCACTGATAAGGATGTCGGATAACGTTTCTGAAGCTACGCCTTATTTAGTTCACCCAATAGCAACTTCGAGACTAAATTTCCCGTTGCTATGGTAGCAGATGAAGGGATAATATTTCTATTGTTATTCTGTATTCAATAAATTAAGTTTCCCTCAAACTACAAATTTGTTTGAGTAATGTTTACTTCCTATGCGATCCACACGTTGCAGTGTAAAGAGCTTCAAGGAAGTGACATCTTGTTTTCTACGTAAAGTACATAAGAACTCATAGTGGTAATTAGTGGAATTGGGGTACTTTTATTTACATTTATTTGGTATTTGGGGCCGTGTAACCAACAGTCGTGAGCCCACAAACAATTTGGTAGATAATACGTTTAGAAAGAAAGTGAGAGTCAAAAATCCAACGAGGCCTAGAATCCAGTGTTAATTCTAGGGATAAGATCCGTTCTAGTTAAGTTTCTAAGTAACGCCTACTTGTACTACAATTCAATGCACATGCGTGTGAATCGGTTAGTAACGCCCCTCCCCCTTGTTTCAACACACACACGGGCATATCATGAATAAAACGTACTGCACAATCAGTACTGTTAACTGTTTTAATGATATATATACAGATGCTTGGGTACGTTATATTAAAACTATTTTGCATTAAGTAAGAATCACAGCTGATATAAAGTCGTCATGTATCCGAACTACATTTTGACATTGTTTGCGTTGCTAAGATGAGGAAATGTCATTAAAACAACGCTTTTGGAAATGGCACGTAACAGTACTTTGACACAAAAAGATTCATACATTCAAAGCAGGAATATGGCGGAGTTTGTGGCATCAAAGCCATGTTGGAAGAGGCATGGAACAAGTAGTTCCCTAGAGTCTCGTAAGAAGTTAAAATCCATGAAAAGAACTTTCGATGTCCAAACCGTCCACATGCCCCCAAGCAACAACGTGCAACACAGTCAAGAAAGGATCTCCGTCTAGAAAAGCGACAAAAGTCACGTGCTTCAACGCCATATCTGTTCAACTGGCACAGACCTCAAGCAGCTGAAGAACACAATTCACGAAAGGCCATCGTCTGCACCGGATATTACAAACGTACTTTGGCTGGCCTATATCATTCTTCATTACTTTGACTCAAGTTCTTAGAATTTCATAAGAGAAACCTTACGTACATATTCAACAACTATCTACTCCAAAACCTGGAAGAGGCTGGCTTCGAATCTTCTATCTAATAAAAACGTAGACATCATCCTTCACCTCCTGTGTGCGCAAACAGTTAGCGAAACATGTGAAGCCACTGTTTTTATGCAAATTAATAGTCCGAAAAGTAGTCACCGGTTTACTTGTATAGAAACTAATAACCAAACCCAAGTGGTCACCGGTTTACTTGTATAGAAACTAATAACCAAACCCAAGTGGTCACCGGTTTACTCGCATAGAAACCAATAACCAAACTCAAGTGGTCACCGGTTTACTTGCATAGAAACCAATAACCAAACTCAAATAGTCACCGGTTTACTTGTATAGAAACTAACAACCAAACCCAAGTGGTCACCGGTTTACTCGCATAGAAACTAACAACCAAACCCAAGTGGTGCAAGTAAACCGGTGATAGAAACCAATAACCAAATTCAAGTATTCAAACAAATAGGGGAGTTACTGAACGTACCTGAAGCCCCGACGAACTGTATTTAAAATTCATCCAAATATTTTAGAAGTTCCACTTAATGAGTTGTTTTTGCTTATCACAGAACTACACAATAGGCTGTGCTCTGCCAACTGCGGGTATCGAAACCTGAATCTCAGCGTTACAACACCCACAGGCTTACCGCCGAATCATCTAGGAACAATTAACCTGGTTCTCATTACCCAACACAAAATTATACAAAAAAAACAGGATTATGGGTTAATCCTTATTATAGTTTATGGGGTTCCACTTGAGGGGGAGGGAGTGTTCCCTGCTTTAATGAACGAGATAAATGTATTATTCGACACTAAATTTATTTTCGGTTTTTCAAACCTTAGTTTAATATCCCTTATTTCACGACGGTTAATAAATTAACTCTGATGTTATTACTACTCCCGTCATAATTTTATTTTCAGGTCTGTTGCTTTGGTTCAGGCCAATATTTGCAACATGTTCAGGAATCAATATTTATTGCACAGCTTCGTTGGTTTTAAAATTTTATTGCTGAAAAGTCAAACTTCCTGAACTGTTCCTTACTTTGTACAGTAACGATAGAGCTGACGTCCACTCGCTGGTTTTGTGATGAAATAAATCAATAAGAAAGGAACATAAATGTAATATTATTAACACTACAAAACCGTATTTATTCACATATCTGGGCATTTCAAGACTTTCTGAATCAGATATTTACTTTTTCTTACATATTTGGTTCGATTCTGTTCTACTATAAGCCTAATTCTACCACCACATATAATCTCAGAGCACTAAGTTTCCGTACACATAATAACCCTACAAGTGAATAAAAAGAGACATTAAACAGACATTTATAAGAATGAAAACTAAACTTAGTCTCGAGGAGACGGCTTGAATGGGTAATGAAGAAAAACTTTAATATAACAGCAAATGTACAACGTTTCGACAGTGTGGTACCTGATGATGACAAAACCTTGTC